ATAATAATAATAATAATAATAATAATAATAATAATAATAATAATAATAATAATAATAATAATAATAATAATAATAATAATAATAATAATGATAATAATAATAATAATAATAATAATAATAATAATAATAATAATAATAATAATAATAATAATAATAATAATAATGTGTTCGCTAGTCGTAAAAATCTAAACCACACGTTAAAAAGTTCCAGGAACACAACAAACTAGAAAGAACCCATAAACATCTATTTCTAGATCTAGGAACTAAAGAATCACAACTCAATACTGATATTACAACGTATGAATGAGAAATAGCGTTAGGGTAAAAAAAATATTGCCCGGTAAGGATCAAATTACAATGTTATGTATACAAATCTACCAGCCAGCTTCACAGAAATAGTTATAAAATTACTCAACCAAATATGGAATAGTGGGTTAATTCCAGACACTTGGAAACTGGCCATCATAGTACCAATCCCTACACCAGGCAAAGATCCAAATGACATTATCTCATACCGACTTATCTCCCTCACCAACAACTTATATAACATTATGAAAACATTATTGGCCAACCGACTGAAAATCTATCTCGACAGCAGCCTCCTTTCGGAAAACCAGTGTGACTTTCGTAACAAGCAGTCCAACACTAACCAACTGATAAGGCTAAAAGCGCACATTAAATTAGCTTTCAACGCCAAACGGAAATCAGAGAGAAATCGTATAGCGATTTTCCTTGATCTCGAAAAGGCATGTGACCTTGTTTGGACGAAAGGTCTCATAGTTAAGCTTAACCACTTCGGAATTACTGGACGCATGTTCAAACTGATTGAAAACTTTCTAACAGGTTGAAAATAACAGTTAAAGTAGGAAACATCTATTCAGAATAATTCCCCCTAGATAATGGCACCCCGTAAGGAAATGTGCTTAGTCCTACTGTTTTCAATCTCATGATAAACGACCTGGACAAAAATCTAACCTGCAACAAAATGAATCTCTCACAACTTGCTGATGATGGCGGTATCTGGAGAGCAGGAAATCCAGCAGCTAACCAAGTCATCTCAGAAATACAAAGCATCCTAGATAACATAGGGAGATGGGCTGATAAATGTGGGTTTAAAATCTCTCAAGAAAAAAACCGCAGATATTATTTCCATCCCCATAAGTAAAATCAAACTAATATACCCTGACATACGCTTCCAAAACCAACTCATTAAGGTGGTAAGATTCCTGGGCATGTACTTCGATAGCCATCGAAGCTGGGATTGCTACATAAAATATATAATTACAGCATGCAATAAAGATCTTCGCTGACTTAAAAATATTACAGAATCAATATGGAGATCAGACCAAAAATAAACGATGTTAACCATCTACAGATAATTCATACGATCAAAACTGGATTATGGATGTCAGGTATATAACTCTGCCAAGCAGCTACAACTCCAAAAACTAGATAAAATCCAACGAAAAGCACTGGCTATCGGTTCTAGCACACTATCCTCACCCACGCTTGAAGAACTCCAAATATTCACTTGAGACCTGCCACCAAGTCTGAGAAGACAGGAATTAATGCTAAAATATTCCATACGACTATTCAAACACCAAGACACGCATACAACAAGATTGGCTATTTATAAATGTAGCAAAACCTTTAGTCGCAAACTTGTACCAAACTTACCAGGTGGAAAAATAATTCCGGAACTGAGGAAAGAAATGGCAATACTAGAACAACAGGAGAAATACATAAATACCCCTGATCCAGCACCTTGGATAAACTCGAAACCAAGGATAAACACTAAAGCCACCAAATATGGTTATAAATTAAGACAAGAACTCAGTTTGCAGGCAAATATTATAGAGAAAATACCTGAAAAATACTCCAGTTTCGTAAAAATCTACACTGGCGGTTCTAAAAAAAATGACACACCCATAACAGCAGCAATAGTGGTAATCCCAGAACACAACATTCAAATGGGAACTAGATTACCTGAATACTGTTAAATATATACCACCAAATTCGGGGCCATAAATGAATCCCTGAACTGGGACTTAGGAAACATTATCAATAAAGCGGTAATTATCAGCGACTACATTAGTGTCATAACAACAATCAAAACCAGAAAATATAAAGCACAACCAGTGTTCCTAGCCAGGAATTCCCTCTTGTTAAAAGAAATATCCTCCAAAAACATATCTGTGGAATTTGTATGGATGCCATCGCATATTGGAATCCTATGTAATGAACAAGCGGACAAGTTGCTAAAAATAAGCTAAAAGACACCAATCCGGCCTAACGAAAGTACATAATATCCGAAGCACAAAGTATAGCCAAAACATACATAAACAACTAATGGCATGAATACTGGAACTCTACTAAAAGAGGCAGTAAACTATACAATATAGTCGAGGAAGTCGACAGGTTCATTAAACCACCGTAAGTAAACAGCCTGAACCAAAAGATTATAAACCGCATAAGAACAGGATAAAAACCTAGCCTGCAGATTTGGCCACTACTTAGAACCAAAACCAGTCAACATCAAATGTTACCACTGCCGTACCATAGAGGACCTAAAACACATTTTCAATGATAGCCCACAACACCAATTGTCCAGAAAAGATTTCCAACTAGCACAAAAAAGACATCAAAGCCCCAATCACATACCCAGAATTCTTAGACATTAATGATACCAACATCAACCTAATCACAACTTATAATAACATCATCAAATATTTAAATGAAATTGACATAAAGAGGAAAATCTAAAATAACAAACCAAGTATTGAATAGATCTGGTTTCTTGTTATCTCGAACAAGGACCTGATTTGATAGCAAGGACGTGTGCCCAAATGAAATAAAATATATGGACATACAGATCAATAAAAACGTTATAAATAAAAAAATTTTAAATATACAGCCCAAACATAATCCTAGATAATAGTCCCCTAAACAAAACGTACAGTTCGGATGGCATTAAAACTGGATGGGAGTCTATGATATCTCGACAGTAATGATTCTTCAGCATAGAAGCCTTTCCATCCAAAAGTAAGCCATCACGCATACAAAATCCGCTAAAAACATGAACAGATACTGCTTAATACAAGGGTAATATTAACAACACACACACAGACACAAACACACACACACACACACACACATATATATATATATATATATATATATATATATATATATATATATATATATATATATATATATATATATATATATATATATATATACATATATATATATAAGATTTTTAAATGAAAACTCTCAATTAAACCCTACTCTCTCCCTCATTTCTCAATTATATCTACTTTTTTAGCTAACCATTTTATAATAACCCCTCTACACCAAACGGTGACAGCCTGTCCATCAAAAGTAGAGTAATACAATATGGCCCAAATAAAAAATATATGGTTGTCAAAACCCAATGACCATCACGCCATAATCTTAATGTTGCCTCAAATAGACAATATGCAGTGGTGAAAGCAATATGTTGTTTCCTCTTTTCTCGTAAGCAGCAAAATCACAGTCCACCTTGAAAGGAATGACTAAGTGACGGAGCAGTTGTGGTTTCTAATCGACCAAATCAAACTACTCAAACAATAAATGTAGTCCTTCGTTTAAATCAGCAGGATAGCAAAAATGCTAGTAGAATCGATCGTTGTTGATAAGGTCTTTTATAGGACATAGATTATCATATCTAACTAGAACCGGAAACAAACAGGGTCAGAGGGTAATGAGCATCATTCTGCAGTCAAAAATATTTATTTAAAGACGATGAACAATTATTTGGTACTCGTTCAGTACACTTTTGCAAACCTTCTACAAGGTTCTGAGCTGAAATAGTTTTGACCAGACTTTGAACGTTAAAATAATGTCCAATATAAATTCTCGTGGTATAGGTAGTACAATGAGGGAAAGTCAGTGGTGGTGTTTTGGATTCATTGATAAGAGGGTCAATTTTATTCAACTCCTCTCGAATTTGTTAGATCATTATATCGACGATGAAAGTGTTTGATCTTCCTAGATATGAAGGTATTTCGAAGGATTACTAATTTATATGGAAGCGTCATCCCAATTAGCTTTATGATCCAACTTTATTACTTGAGTTAATTTGGCGGTGAAACAACATACGGTAGTGTTGAGAAGTGGATGAAGGATTGTAGTAAATGGTAGAAAAGTGCATCCATTATGGGATTAACTGTTACTGCACCTCACAAAGTGATCCACCGTTTGATCATGCTCCTAGATGCATGCGGTATTGATTCAGACGGTGGTTTGTTTTATGCATGTTTAATTTGTATTGCAAGATTTAACTTTATCCACAGCTGAAGGCAGGAGTTAAGAACTTAGTGACTAATATTGTTTCTTGTGTTAAGCAACATATTACATAGCTAATTTCAGTCTGTGAATTAAGATTATATATTAAGATTATTATCATTTGTGGATAAACATCTTTCTTGGTTTGAGTTCTAGATACAACAGTGAAGCTGACCTAGAAGATTCCAGAAACGAATTTTAATATTAGCTTGAATTAAATAAATTTACTTTATTCCTATCTTAATCTTTAGAGGAAATTTCTTTAGCTGTGTTTCAGTCAATATTTAAGATGATTTATTTAATTAAATTACTCAAGAAGCTCATTAAAAATTTCTGACTAAATCACTATTTTATGATATTGTTAATTCATTCAGAGCCTATTTGGATTATATCACTGTGATATATCAAGACTGCTAACATATCAACACTATTACAGGCAATTAGTATATCATCAGCACAATCAAAATTGAAATTCACTTTTTCTGTTACGTAGCTTAAAAGCACAGTCGTAACATTTGCTTTTCCGACGACCAGTAGGAGCCAGAGCAGTCTGTACAGTAGTGACTGTTTTCTTGATGTGTTTTTCCACTTATATATTATTAATTTATTATTTATTTATTTATTTATTTATTTATTTATTTATTTATTTATTTATTTATTTCTACCTTTCTCCCGTGGCCTAGTGGTTAAAGCGTCCGCCTCAGATGCGGCAGGAAGTGGGTTCGATCCCCGGCTGAGTCATACCAAGGATAAAAAATGTTTCTTGCAGCTACCTCGCTTGGTTCTCAGCATTAAGAGGTTAGTATTAGGACTGGTCTGCCTGGTGTCAGTAGAATGTAACTGAATTTAACATAATGCTACGTGTCTGCGGCATGATGCCCCGGTGCTAGACATCACTATAAATTGCCACACTGCAGACATAGCAGCGATATGATTGAAAAATTGTTAAAGCTACGTTAAAAGTCCAAATCACACACTTCTTTTTTTCTTTCTTTTCTTTTCTTCTTTCTTTCCTCATTTCATTCTTTCTTTTGCTCTGATGAAAACTTTTATTTCTTCTCGTTTGTGAGTGGGTGATGTCACTATGAAAGCCGCAATCTTACTTGGAGAAGATAGAGTCATCAGTACCTCTTGTAGTTCTTCCATCCCAATATATGTATCTGCTTGGCGATGGTTTGCTTCATTTTGCATTTTTCTCTTGAAATGTCTCTTAGTAGCTTTGGCTGTTTCGTCTAATCTGTTGTGATGAGTCTCTACGGCTGCGACGTTTCTGTCACTGAGTATACTATCTTTCCTGAAAAGAGGTATCTGTTTAATTCTTTTCTTCCTTCATTATTTTTTATGCCTCCTCGTGTTCCTGTAAGTGAACAGTTATTTTTAACGGTCCTATCGTCATGGGTAGAGATCATCCGACTTTAAATAAAATGTTTCTGTTTGACAGAAGGGTATTTTCATTTTTGCTATTTGGTAAAGAACGTTCCTATATTTTCCTAATCATCGTTTCTTTAGAATTGGATTTCCATTTATTATGTAATTCGGAAACAGTGTTGTAAATAAGGTTTACCACTAGCAAGAATCATCGTTAGCAGCGAAGAAGTTGATTTGGCAGGAGAAGAGACCATCGCCGACCGGAATGGATTTCTAGAGTACGCACACGTCATAACAGTATTACCTCTCGTTTCTGTCAGGAGACTTTTTCTTAGGACTTTTCTTCTTTGGGTTTTTCTGTTCTTGTGAACTTTCGGCACCACTACACTTCCTTTGCACCTGCTGCCATGTGTTTGGAGATTTGGATTCAACATTAGGATCCCATTTTGAAATGGAACAAATAATTACACCTTTTAAAAATGCTACATTTGCCATACTTGGATCTGTCAGTTGTGATGACGCTACTTTTTCCACATAAAAGTGTTTGGTTTGTGAATGAGTCCTTGAAATAACTGACATGCTGTCAAATTAAACAAGAATATTACTTTTTAAGTGTGGCTGCTACAAATGCACCCATGCTTATGTGCATCCTTATAGCGACTGGTGCCAGGCAGTGCTCGAAACAATTAGGCAAGAAGATAAGATTAAAAGAAAGTCATGTTGAATACTGTTTAGATGAAAAGAAGTGGATAATACTTTTACAGTTTGTTTACTTCCTTTCAGATAGACATCAAAGTGGACGTGCGAGTGTAAGGAACTCCTTCTTAGCACCAACAGCGAAGTACGTTGGTACGAAAACGTATATCATCTGAAGTGGATGGTATTAAAACAATGAGTACATACACAGGCGATATTTATGTGGCATTCTCATAGGCATAATTCATTCAAGTGGAACCTTTATGCCTGGTTAATACTTTCTAAATAATATCACCTGATGTGCATTCATATTGATGGTGCAATGTGTTTTATTTTGTTTAAAGAAAGTATGAGTAATGCAAATGATCCTGGCATTACGATGATATCCAATTCGTGTAAAGCAAAGTTTAATTTCTTCTTCACTTTTTCCTTTCGTTGGATAAAAGTCGGGTACAATCTAACCATCTACACAAGGAATGCTCTCTACAAACGAAATGGATTCCTTCAGAATGTCTTGAAGTAATATGTAAGCCGGTTGAAATTCTTTGTAATACATACGATGGGGTTGTGGAAGTCTATCAAATAAAAAGACACTATTCTCGATCTATGTGCATCCCATGAAAATTATATACATGATCTGGTGTACAAGGATGACTTCGTGGTCTTCTAATATTTCTTCTTCTTTTCATGTTCTTTAACTGTTTTTATCATTGTCTTGTTTAAAATCATGTTGACTTATCATGCTTTATTTAAGTTAATTTCTTTGCTTCTCTTAGTGGCACGTTATCTTTGGCATAGTCAGCCATTTCTTGTATACAAGCATGGAAACCAAGACTTTTCCAGTCTTACCATTTGATCACTTTAAAAACTTTTGCAATGGCTTTACCAGCGGAATTTCCACTAGAACTCTTGTAGACGCACACGTTACGGTCAACAAGTATTGGTTGTCTGACTTAGCCTTAGGTAAATCATCGACAGAGTATACTATTATATAACTGAAAAGTTCATCATATGCAGGAATAGGTTTTAAATCAGCCTTAGGTATATTCTGGCTGAAGTTTCCAACCATTTGACACGTGTGACAAGATTTACGATATTTTGAAACTACCCTTTAATTTTCTCTGTCAATAAAAATGATTCAAAATCTTGTGATAAGTCTTATTGACTCCTAAATGACCAGTCAATGACGTTTTATGGACTATGTTAAGAATTGTATGTCTTTATGACCTTTGAACAAAATCGTAGCTCACTGACCACTTATGATCAGCTCAGCGGATACCTCTCGATTTTGTCACAACTAAAAGCTTCATGAATCAAACAGGAGATATCTCTCAGGTTCTTGTTCCTGTTCGATTACGAGTGATTGTTTTTTGTCTGCCCGATTAGAAGATACAATGATTGGTGAAAATATAAACACTGTGATCAATGTGTACTGATTGCTCAATAATAGGAGCAAAACCGTCCCCATCAAAATACTGACCAATAAATGTCAGCTAAAGGAATCATTTCCAAATCAGCATCAATCTCAAGATCATGTTTTTCCGTAACTTTTGTAATAGCTTGATACAAATAAGTTATTTCACTCTTAATAGGATTAGCTATTGGATCCAAATACGACTTGTCAGTTACGAGTAGATTGAACACGACCATACCTCCAGCTAGGTCAATGATTAGTAATAAATGAATGCCCTTAAAAAGTAAAGAATACACTCCTCCAAAAGTCGTTTATCCTGGGAATAAGTCGGATGTCAGATTAATACAATGGAGAGGAACATTAACAAAGCCTCACTATACAGGCTGAATAAAAACACTTTCACAAGAAGATTACCAGATAATGAAGACTGCCTGATCATAAAATATTGTGATGATCCTGTGTCTTTTATGAATGAACATGTACAGTTTTGAAAGAATAACCAATTAGTAATTTAAATCCATCTGACATAAATGATTCATAATTCTCCACATTTGAAACAGACTGGGAATGTTTTACTTGACCAAGACAGCAACACATTTAATGTAAGAGCATTTAGAATAACTCTGTCTTTATTATGTTGCTTGTATTTCAACTTGCTGCAATCATAAATGACGTACCCTTTCTTTTGATAACCAATACACGTAGGAAGAGAAATTATTTCTGATCCGTTTCATCAGATGCTTGATTATTAAACGTTGCTTCGGACTGAGATTTGGAGGTATTCATAACAAACTGAGATTATATTTATCTTTAAGGAAGAAAACTGCTGAGATGAAGACTTACTGACAAACGAGTGAAGGAGTAATCATTATTTGTGCGTAGTAAAGAAAACAAATTTCTTGAAAACTCTTTATCAATACAAATTTAAAATTTAAATTTTACTTAATATAGAGAAATGAAACGATCATTGCCTTCCTTTTTCGTGCATAATGTTAAGTGTTTGTGAATTAAATATGGCATAAAATCGCCGGAAATGACCAAGTTTTAAAATAAATCACATTCCATGCTGTTATAATTTTTAATCGTCCACATTCATTAATACGACTGCTACACGGGACAGCGATAGTGTTTCTTGCTTATTTATGAATCCACCTGATGCAATAAGACTTGCCATTGTGTCACTTACTTTTTATGTTATATTTTTAAGACTGAGTGATTCATTATAGCTGTGCAAGCTTCATGCTGACAATTTGGAAAAGTTTGTGCTTAATAACGTTTTCTTAAACGATTTCCTTATATAATTATTGAACTGTAGTGCGGTATACTTTTCGCCAACTATTGGAAAAATGTGTATTTGTTTTTATTTGGAAGTATCTATCTTTATTGCAAAATTAAGATAATAATTTGAACTTAATTCAGTTCGCGACATCAATAGGGCTTATTAAACATTAAAGTAAGACATCGGGTTTTTTTTAGAAAGATACTTCAATAAATTATAAATTTCTTGTGGCATTAGGTACATCATTATATAATATCTTAAGGCGTTTATTTAATATATTGCCTTCCTTTTGATGCTAACGTGCGGTTGTCTTGGGTGAAGAGGAGAGGAGATTTTAAGTTGATATTATTTCGCAATTTTAGACAAGAAGTGTAAAGGCTGATCCTAAGAGAATTAATTTGATAAAAGTATATGGACACATTCACACAAATTAGAGCTTGAACTGGCATTACGCTCTTTTAAAAACCTAACAATAATGGATGAATACAACGGACCCAGTAGTACGTTCTTCATATATATATATATATATATATATATATATATATATATATATATATATATATATATATATATATATATATATATATATATATATGTATGTGTGTGTGTGTGTGAGAGAGAAGGTAAAAAAGGACTGATACATGCTTTGTCATTTCTTGCAATTGACCTGAAAGCTGATTTACTTTTATGTCCTGTATACGCTTTTAAATATCATTATTATTCCTTGAAAGTAAAGGTGTTGCTATAAACTTTCAGTGGAGATAATTATCATTTTTAAGTAGAAATGCAGCTGGTAGTTTTTCCAATATATGTCTTTATATACGGTGGTCGTTATGAATATTCCTCTCAACAAATTCTATTTAAACTTTTTCCATTTATTTATAACCACTCAAAACAATTTTCATGAAGAGAAGATCAGTCTTAAGATCCGTGCATCGTAGCAATGTCAAGTATTTCACAGCTCACTTTTCTTTCTCTTATGTC